AAAAGTAGCTGCTTTCGATTGTAGGAGGGAAATGATAGGAAAAATTCAAAAAAATCCCTTCTCCCTTTAATTATAAGGCGAAAAAATATATAATGGAAGGAAAAGGATGGAAAAATGAGAAAACTTGACTGGAAAGATAATCCACCTTGATATCAACTATTTTATTATAAATAGTCTAATATTGTATAAGCTATATATTCACCAAACATAGGCAAGTTTGAAGGAAAGAGATAGATGGAATAGAACTATTAACGTTTTATGTATATTAATATAATTTTCATTCTGTTTGTTCACCTGGTTTCTTTTAATAAATTTTCAACTTATTTCAAAGTAAAAATAGATATTTTTACTTAGAGATACAAGTAAGTTGAGATATGCGTAAATTTCAAAGACTTAAATTGGAAGATATGGAAGAGGAAGAGAGAATATATAGGATATGGATGTATTTAGAAAAAATAAATAATAGTATTATGTGTAAACAGACGATAAATAATTGTATTATTATTTATTATTTCCAGGTGTTTTCCAATGAAAAGAATTAAAGGGAAGAATAAGAAAGAAACGTTTTACTCTGATGGATAGAAGAGATTACAAAAAAAGAAGATGTATACTTTGTATATTTATAAAATGGTAAAGTAAATTATTCTTTTATATATATATATATTAGTATATATATATATACACTGTATAACTTGCATTCATTATATCATTCGGTTTACAAATGATAAGTAATATACATAACGGAACATAAATAATATAATAAGGTGTAATGGATACGTAAATTCTATTTTATTTACTTTTCGTTTAAACTATCATAAATATTGTTATAATATTCAAAAATTCATTTTATCAATGTAAAAATGTATAGATTGATATACGTCTACTGTACAATATTCTCTCCCCCCTCCTCTTCCTTATACTTTACTCTCTTCCCTTCCTCTTTCTATTTATTTTCTTTATGAAAATCATAATAAATGGACTAATTAGCAGGTTTGTTAAATAAGATATTAAGTAGTTTGCGGACTAAATGTACCTGCCTTCTCTTCTCTTCTCTTTTCTATCACTACACTGTAATAACAATTAGCTAACATAGACAAATCGACAATGATGTCGAGTAAATATTCAACTTTGTAGACGGTAGATGTTAAATAGGAGCAAACACATATATTTTTTACTTTTGTACTTCTTGCCTTTTCACATGGAGTACCTCCCATGTATAGTCGACATTTTCTCTTTCTTTAAAGCTTAAGAAGTTTGCTGTTTTATTTGTATATATCTATAAAGTTTATGTGTGTATATTACAAGTATGAATAGTTACCAGTATATAAAACTATTCACTTTGCAATACAACTCTATAAACTTTAATATATATGTAAAAGAAAGTTGGCTTACCTCCTTTTTCTCTCAAATGTGTGCCTCTTTCAGAAAAGAATGGTTCAATGGTTTTATATCAAGTAAACTTTTAGGGAAGCTGAGAGCGAAATAGGGAGGGATGCAAGTGAGACAGAGACAGCCGGAGAGCAATAGAGAGACAGAGAGTGAGAGACAGAGAGGGAGAGAGCAAAATCGAGCGAACGAGCAAGGGATGCCTTGATGAGACGATTATTTATTCCAAAATGGTGCTGGCGCTGTTCTGACTGCCTCAGATATGTTCTATAAGCTCTAGCATCGTTGGCATCTTATTAAGTGTAAAAGTAGGAGGAGCTTACCCTATGTATTATTATAAATTATTATATAAAAAAAAGGGAAAGCAAAGGTGATTTATAATTAAGATTTACTATTGGAGAAGAAGAAGAAAATTACAGCCTATACAAATACTACAAATCAGAGGAATTAAAAGAGACTATATTGGAAGGAAAAAAGTTGTAAAGATTATAAAAATTTAGTCAGTTAATTGTTTTTCAAGTTTAGATTTTTAATTTTTGTATTCTTTCTTTTCTCTCGCTACGTCCTTCTTTCCTCTTTTGCACTTTTATGAAAGAAATTGCTGGAAAGGAAAAAATCAGCTTTATTGAGTTGGAAATTAAGCAATTTGTGCAATTTTATTGATTAGAGGAGAGCTTGTTAATTAAAGGCCATTTTTTAGATATAAATAACGGAAATATAGGACTTTTCGAAAATGCATATATACTGTATATATATATATATATGTAATAGTATATAAAGATATTTAATAGTTGCTAATTTTGGATCATCATTACTTTTATCTTTTATGCATTTAACGCCTATTTAATGCACTGTTGATTAATTAGTATTAGGTACATTTATTAAGTTCTACTCCGTGATTAGACTCTATGATAGGCAGTGAAGCAATTGTACCTCTTATACTTAAAGGAACGAAATCAATGAAAATTTTCAGTGGAATAAATAAATTCTTTATTTCTGATCTGGAAAATTGTAGTGGCTTTATAGGTTTATCAATGGTTAGTTTGTTCTAGCTAAAAATGATAAAAGAAAGAAAGAGAGATAAGCATACGTATAGTATACACAAAATTCTTTAACTGAACTCTCTTCAGAGCAGATACGAGGAGAAAATGAAGGAATTTTTTTAAGATCATGAAATCTAGACGTAAAAAGAGTAAGAAATAATTAAATAGTGGAACAAGAAACGAAATCTGAAAATGTTTCTTCCACCCAAAATCTATCTAACCACATCTCTCTCTCTCTCCACTCTCCATCTCTCCTTCTCGCTATCATTAAACAGGATCATGTCTGTGTATATGTGTACTTCGTCTAAATACATTACACGTGTTATTCCTGTTAGAGTACTTACGTAAGCATGATACTTAGTTGCTCTGTTTTTTGACAATTTCCTGGCAAATGTACTCTAGATTGATTACAATCGAGAAGGGGTTACGGAAGAAAAGAGGAGTAAAAAGCCCGGTGTAAAAGCTATAAATCGTTAATTATGCGCTCACGAGGTCAAAAGTGCAAAGATGAAATATTCGCATGAATCGCGTTATCTATGCCTTCTCATTAGCTATAGCTTAGGGATCAAAGATGTTTATCTAATACAACTAATTTTATACTAGTCATAAGAGACATGACATGTATCCAATTGTTTTTTAAAATAAAAAGAAAGCCTGTGTTAATAGAAATTTGATAGAACAGGCGTTTTTAAATGGAAGAAATCCTAATAAAGAAGCTGAAACTAGCAAAAGTGGCATAAAATAATCATTTACACCGATAACTCTAAATGACGGAAGATTTAATGATCAGTCTATTTCGGTCAAGATTGTTATTAACAAATTTATAAACGTTTCCTTGAAACAAGGAGAAGACGTAGAATATGAGAGAGACAGAGAGAGAGAGAGAGAGAGAGAGAGAGAGAGAGGGGGAATCAGAATGCAAAAAAAACAAAATAAAGCGTGGAAATATAAATAGAAAAATATCTAAAAGATATAAATTTAAAATCTAGTAGAAGGCCGTTGCTTTGGAATAAGCCTGTCTGCAATTTAATAGTTATAACAAGTGTATAGAGCTTTAGCTTTAGAAACTCAATATGCTTCTTCTTTCTGAATAGCATTGTTTCGTTATTAGAGAGCATCTGAATGATTAATTTACAATAAATATTATGAACATTTATATTATCTGCTCGAAATAGGATATTTATTAATATTTAAATAAAGGTTAAGCAAGTAAAAATCAACGTTTTTGTTAGAGTTTTGTAATTTAGAACAAAAGTTGATTGAGTTATTGTCACTTTTTGACGTTTCTCTACAGAAATAAACAAAGGAAATAAAAGACACCTGCTGAATCTTAAATATCTCAAGAGAGCGTAAGTTTACACATTCTCAACCTTTCATTTTATATTCTTTTACTTGTCTTTGAAAAAGTAAACAAGGAATACTCTGCATAAATTCCATTAATAATTAAGAAAGAGTAATAAATTAACTTTTCCTTATCTTAAATTCATTAAGTAATAAGGGAAGGGTTAAAAAGAAAAAAGACTGATTAAATAATTAAACCAATTTGAATAGAGTGTAGAGATTTTACTTTAATTTCTTTTGTAAGCTCAATCCCAACGTCAGTTTATCAGTAAGAGATTTATCTATATATTTGTATATAATTCATATATATATATATATATCATGTTTTCTATCAATAGGATATCTGCTATGACGCAGTTCTTTCTCAAAGGCCTAAAGTTCCCTAGGCTAATTATACTTGATAAAAGATTTTATTGATACTTACACGATGGTTAATAAAAACTATTATTAAGAAATTACTAACCAGAGAGGTTTGTAGAAGGTGAGATGGAAATAGAAAGTAATTGTTTATGTATCTTACCCCGAAGAAAGATTTTTGGTCTCATACCTAGAAGAGCATTATACAGGAGAAAGGAGGGAATAAATTATTGAATACACTCTGTATATGTATTGTACATATTGTATAATGTCATCAAGTATTTATCACGATGGAAAGAAGAGAAATTAGGTTAACCGTTTGAAAAAAATTCCCATTTCAATTATTTTAATGAGGAAATAATCGGTAGCAGTTAAAAACGTTGACCATTCTATGACACCCTGGCGATGTCTTTTAAGTCCATCACACTAGGAAATGGTTAAAATTTCAATCCTTAAGAATAAAATCCTGTTCCTCTAAAGTCGCTTTAATTGCAGTGTTGGTTTTATAAATAAACAAGCGTCACTTCCTACTCAAGGTGACTTTCCATTAGTAAACGAGAACAAACAGGTCCGGTATAAATACAAATAGTCTACAGTCATAAACAAAAGAAATCTCCTTAAATTTGTTTATTTGTTTAAGCGTTGTTTCTAAATTAAGCATATCGTGTATTAAAAAATTAGAGTGTAGCCTTATTTGTAAATAAAAAACAAACAAAGATAAGAAATTAGCTATATTATTGACACCGTCTTTAGGATTTTTAATTCATGTTTATTACCATCACGTTATATTAATTAATAAAAAAAGGTAAACCCACACAAACACACAAACACACACACACACACCCACATACATGCAAATATACATATGTGTAGTTAATTTATACAATTCATAGTGTTATTTCTATCGCTGTAGTGTAACGAAAAGATAGTCGACCCCTCAAGCTTGGATAGGAATGGATTGTAATTTAGCTTTAATTCCTCTAAATCTTCTGAGTGTCCTGACGTTATTGCCTTTTTAGAAATGTAACACACGCCCCTACTTTCCCATACAAAGGTAAAACAATCTGTCATTGCATGGGAGAGACAACTATCTGAGCATTCTCTTAAGGATTTGGCACTTGGATTGAGTACTCTATGAATAGCTGTCATATCTTTTGCCATTAATGTTGATTGTCCTAATTAATTTTATGTTTAAATTAAAATATTATATTTTAATATGACTCTTACTCGATCTTGTAAAATTTCCATAAACAGTTAGACCTATCTCCGTCTTCTTGTTCATTTTTAATGATATATAGCGACCTCTTATGTGCTTTGTAGAAACCATATCTTCCGACCTATACCTTTGAAAATCACTGGTGTAAATGATTTCGTAATTCTTTGTTTCGTCATTTAGCATAGAAACTTCTAGATCATACAGAGGTCCTTGAAAAGGAGAATGAATTAAAATGTAATCAAAAGCTAAAATTAGCATATTTAATTTTGCCAACCAGAAATTGCCGATATCGTCAAATGGGTAACGGTGGAAATCGTATCCAGTTTTAAGACTTGACTGATACTTGGCATAAGTAAAAATCGTTTCATTCTCAACAGCGACATTTCCTCCAGATTCGTCATTTGACCCCATATCTTGACGTGGCACAACTTAAACATTTCATTGCTATTCAAGCTAGCAATAGTTAGTTGATAGCCCACGACATCTTTATGACATGAGACAAAAGTACCAGGCGAAGGAATGTTCAAGAATGTTTTACATACCCGTCTGGGTTTGGATAGTGGGAAATATTTTACAGAGTCCTCTTGTAAAGTTAATCCAGTTGCTAAAGGAAATTGATTACTGCTATTAATAGATAATTAATTTTCTTTTATTTGCTTATTTTACCTGCACTAGAAATATCAACATTCAATAAGTTTGTCTTTGTTGAAATTGCTAAACTATGAACCCTAACGTATGAATTAAAGATTAATGTTATCCAATTATAAGTATAAGGCTGCCTTGGCTGGTGAAGTTGAAAGAAGGATGAACAATTGTACAAGGAATCTCTCTTTAGGGCACCAATCCTTAAACTATGGTCACTGAATATAATTAATTGGGATTTTATCTTGGCGAAACGTCGATATAAATCTCCATAAACTTCAATTTCATGTATTCTTATATCGAATTTATGGAAATTTGTCAATATTCTTACTTCATCGGCTATTACAAAAGATCCATTAAAGAGATACTCCTGCTTCAGACCATTAAATTCAGAAATAATCGTCTGTTTTTCACTTTGAATCCAAGTTGTTTGTTTAAATAGAGATACTTCAAATGAATTGATTAAAGAATCGTCGGTAACATTTGATATGAAAGGTGGAATTGTTAATAAAATTCTTATAACTGTTATACGGTATTCAAACAATAAGAAATTTCGAATATGTAGATGTTTCTCTTTAGTTCGCATAAGACAGTTTGTTTCGTTATCCTTATCAATCATATTTTGAAGGCATAAACTATCCAAATTATGATTACTGACTTTCCACGTAAGGAATGTATCATCTATTTTATTTTTAAAGTATAAATCATTATATTTGCTTTGTTTTTCACTTGAAATGTTATCTATTCGTTCTGAAAGAAAGAGGTTTTCCTTTTGTTCTATTTATAATAGAAATGCATATTAAATAGTTTACCTCCATAAATTTCAATTTCTAACAAATATACTTTCTCTTTCTTATTGTAAAATGTTATATTGCTGCCTATTTCATCTGACCCAATTTGTAGATAGTAAAGATCATCGGAAACTTTTAATGTTATTTCACAGTGTACTTTAATCTGTACATCTTCAATATACATTTCGAATTGACATTGTGACTCTATGAATTCTTATAAAAGTAATTCGGTAAGTATCTATTGTTTTAATAATAATTAAACGACCTTCTAAGTACATTTATTACCTTGCATATAAAGATTAGTTAATTTAATTCTGCTTTTAAAGGGTAAAACGATAGTAAATTGTGAACATGTTGGATTATAAAACGCTAGAGATTTTTTAAATTTTCCATCAAACAGAAAAGTATTTCCTTTGTTTGCAGAACAATCTTTAAAGTTCTTTAATTTTCCATCTAATCCTAAATTTAGTGATTTAACGTTCAATCTACATATACTATAATTCTTTCCATACGGTATAGTAAGGCTTAATTGAGGGTTAGAGTTGGCTTCTTTAACTGCTCCGCATTTAAAAACATATACATTTTTATTGGATGATTGAAAATTACAGTTGTCATATCCGTTATTCTGTTTAACGATTAATTTGTTTCCGTCTAGAAGAGTATAAATACTCAATAACCATTGTATACAATGTTTAATTGTTTGATTTAATACCTTTCTCATTTGTTGCAAGAGTAATAGTAACGCTACTGATAGTAGCAGCCCTGTCAAATGTAAAATGTATCTCTCTGGTATCAGTCGAATCATTTTCAAAAAATACACAAATAGGCGTCTTTCCTAGAAAATACTCTAACCATCTGCAAAAGGAAAGGAAGACTAGAGCAATTTTCCTATATATGATAAATTTTACAAATATGTATATACCCTGTTTCTTCTTTAGCTTGATAAGTAATTTTACTAAACTGTAAGATATTTGTAGAGCCTCCCATCAAACCATTTGACATATTACTCTCTGTAAAGATAAAAGGTTGAAAACCTCTAATTTGTCCTGCCCGTATAAAACCGAGAGGAGTTTCAGGATAGTTTAATATAGTTAGAAGACTTTTAAACTGTTGAAATCTATCTATAAAAAGAATTTATTTACAAATCAAGAAAAAAGAGGTAAATTGTAAAGTAAGAAGAAACTAAAAGAAAAACCTCCGTTGTAGACAAATACTAGTGATGGTATAAGCTTTATAAACTTTATAATATATTCTTTACATTGGCTAATTACAATTTCAATATCCACATTGGCTATAACATTAATTTTTGAGAAATTCTCAGTGGGGATTGTGAATTTTTGTAGAGTTATTTCACAATTGTTCATAAATGCCAAATCAATGTAATTGTTTGTATTTATATTAATCTATATAAATATAAAATATACAAATATACAGTATATACAATATGTATGAAATAATACTGAAAGTAATAATTACCGTCTTCCACTTTTCAACAGTTTTATTTAAAGTTATAACTGGATATGATTTACCAGTTTTTATCTCGTGCATATAGATTGTTGAAAATTGTACATCTTCACTTTTAATCAACCGATCAAATAGTATTAGATAACTTACTGCAAAGATTATTGAAATCATAATTCTCTCTTTATGAATTGATAATAAAAAACTGTATAGATATTTCACCCACAATTTAGTCGACTAGTGCAACTATATTCATTCTAATTAATACTTAATAATTAATTAGTTAATCTTCTAATGATTGTCAAGTAGTTTATTTTAAAACTGTTTACTTAATGATAAAGCAGAACAAAATTGAATATGTATGAATAAAAGAGACTGATTTATGTAGCTTTTAAATGTATTGATGAAAGGAGTAAGTCCTTCTATATTGCCTCATTAAATTGTTTATCTAATAGAGAATTTGTACGCCAAACCTTTTTCATAGAATTGAATAGTTTTTTAAACAAATAGCATTAAATAGGCCTAATGAATTAATTCATTAATTCTTTACCTTTAACAAATTTGCTTTCATTAAATTAACATTTCATTCAGCGTTATTCAGTCAACTTTTGTCATATTATCATTTATCTTTTTATCATGTTTGCCCAAAGTCATTTTGCTGTTTTATTAAACTTAACTTTGCACTTGGAATTATAATTGTTTTTTTCTCTTCTTAACGTTTGATGTAAATAGAAAGCTAAGATAAAAATAGAGATTTTAGACGCTGTTTTTGTTTCTTTTTTTGACTTAGTCAAAAAATAGAAAGTACGTATTTAAAGTTGCTTTATTTTTATATAAATACATATTGCAGATATAGAGTAACATATTACATATGATAGATAATGTCTCCTCTCTTTGAGATAATAGAAAGGGCTACATATTTTAATCTTTAGTTACCTTCCCTTCTTCCTCCCTCTCTCTCTCTGTCTGTCTCCTAGTATTAAACGCCTGGTGTCGATAGTTTATTGACTAGATAACTAGGCTTTGTATTGAGTAAAATTTAAAGAGTTTAAGTTAAAAGTATTAATTTGATATTCCTTTTTCATTGTCTCTCTTCTTTAATTTGTTTCAATTGAGAACGCAAAAGACAAAGACATTTTCTGGTTGATTAAACTAAATATATGTTTTATTTCCCATTTGCTCCTTTGAATCGCTTTTTTCGAGGTTAAAAATTTAATTAATTCGTTTCTTCAGTTGTCCTAGAACTTAGGATTTAAGAAAAAGACGCCTTCCGACATTGAATCGTTGATTTCATCTCCGTCACTCGAATTGATTAATACTGTTTTGTCGTTTGTCTTCTTTTTATTTCTCATAAAAATCCTTCGTATGCTCTGAGTTTCAAGTTCTTCAATAGTGTCTGGTAAGGGTTTGTTGAGAGTTTCTGGTAATATCCAGCAAGCTCCGCTGGCTGCAAGGTTTAGAAATCCGCACAATAAGGCAGGACCTATTGGATTGTTCCTCTCCTGGAATGTTGGAAACATAAGTGAAGAGTGAATAAACAAAAGAACAACAATAATATCTTACCCATGTTCTTGCAAATGGAGCCATATGACCCACCAATCTGCCTGCCAGCAAGCAAATTCCCGTTCCGAGACTACGAATATTTGTAGGATAAATTTCAGGAACCATAACAAAGACTATGTTATAGGTTGTTGAGATTGATAGTTTGGCGCAATACTTAATTATTGTTGAGGCGAGGCTATCGACTCCGCTTCCATCACAAATCGCTGATATTATTAAGGATAAAGCGCAAATAACGTGGAAAACCATCATTGGCATTCTTCTGCCAATCTTAACCAGGCAAAAATGAGCTAACAAACAAGCAGGTACTTCTAAAATAGCATATATAAAAAAGTTCAAGTATCTGTTTCCTTTTAGGAAAGTAACAGTTAAACTTAGGGAGCTGTACGTAAAATTATTCGTTATCCATAACCAACACATTGCTAGTGTATTTCTTCTAAGTGTTTTCGATCTCCAAATATCAGACAAATTATAGGTAGGCCTCTCACCTCTGCTATTAGGTTTCCTAATGCTAAATATCTTTCTTAATTTGTGCCATTCGTAAAAGAATCTCTGGCGAAATGCTAATGGAGGTTCTGGTGGAGTATTTTTCAGCTTGCTTAATTTGGGACTTTTAACTTTGTTTATACGTGCCCCTTTATCAATTATTGCTTGCGCTTCTCTAACTCTTCCATTTACGATAAGCCAATTTAAAGATTCTGGTATAATCCAATAAAAAGATATACACAAAACCATCGGTGCATTGATTGCTAATTTAAAGGTTCGCCAATTTCTAATGTAATAAGCCACCGGCGTTATGAGAATATAACCAACTGTCCAAAAATAATTGAGAATAGCGCCTGCTAAAGAGCGATGCTCTGGAGGAAATAGCTCTAGACAGAGGATGAGAACGGTAGAACCTAAACCCTATTGAATGGAAATTTATTAATTATAGTGAGGATTATAAACAGAATAAGTATGCTTTCTTACGGCGGCAAGAAAACCTTCGAAGAAGCCAACGATCATGAATCCCAAGTAGGTAGGTACAATTGCTTGTAACATTCCAAGGCTGACAAGGCAGAAGAGTGAGAATAGAAATACTGGTCGTCTTCCATATAAATCGGATACTCTGGATAAGAGATAACTACCAACTAATTGTCCTATTGGAATAATAGTCATCGCAAGCTCGACAAGCGGCTCCTTCCCGCATACTAAATTCCACTGAAGGAATAAATAGAAACTTTTTATTTCAAGGTTATTGACAAACATTGATTATTTCAGATAACATTTGTACCAGTATAATAGATGAGGATTTGTTCAAATTTGCTTACTTACTTCGGTTGCTATAGTTGACTGATAAGTACGATCGTATTCATAGCCACTCGTGCACTTTTCAGTTTTGTTTGTAGAGCGGGAAAAATTCACGTATTGATAGCATGATGACAAATTCCAATTCTCACCATTCCGATCAATAGGCACTGCATTGTATAAGCTAACATTTTCTGGTATTTTGCAGTGATGAGATGGAATATCAGCTAGATTTTGTAAATAAGTAAAAGGTAAATAAAATATTACAGCCTATATACTGGCTTTGTATTTTCTCTTTTAAAATATAACATAAAGAGCTGCGTTATTATTGAAAACTATACAAATTTACCTATAAACACAATTGACATTTGCAAAAACGCAATTGGAAGTCCGAAACCAATGCAAAAAGCCCCAAAAGTCGATACCTGCCATCTTCCTCTGGGTTTTATAGCCCTGAGGGCGTCGTCAACACCAACAGTCTGATCAGACGACGCCTGCATTTGTGAAATTGATTATTCTCAATATTTAGACGAAAGAGACATCTATCGGAATTTTAAATAACTCTTGCGTAGGGTGCAATACAGAAAATCTGTTTTAAGAGTTCAAACAAAGGAAATGAAGAAAATATTGAAAAATATAAACAATTGAAATATTTAAACCTAATCACTATTTATAAGTTAAAGATAATGTTACAAAACATGAGAATAAATTAATAAATAGGTAATTCATAAATCAATTCAAGATGTTTGTAAATAATGTTGTTTGAAGTGAAAACACTTTTCTCATTAATATAACAACATAGAACCAGATTTGTATTATTGTTATTGTTATTTAACAACGAAAAACTGATGAATAACAAACTGTTTAGTCTCTTTATTAGGGAGGATAGGCTATATCCTACCTTTAAATGAGAAGAAGATTAACATTTTATACTATGTATCTGACTTTATTAATTAAAGAACTAGTTATTTATTTTCATTATAATATTAAACAGAAGCGAGATTCTTTTTTAGGCATTGGAGTAGCAGGACGACCTCCTCTATTCGCCGTATTCTTCTTTGATTCTTGAATTTTTTCTTCCGATTTTAATTCATCGTTATTATTAAGCGTTTTCTTTTTAAAATCTCGTTTTAGTGTTCCTATTATTGGATATTTTACTGCAAATAGGAAATGCAATAAACACATGCTTTCGTTTGCAGACTCTGTAAATGACTTACCTTTAAATTGAGAGTGCCACCTTTGAGCATTTTCCATATGTTTTTCGCTTAGATCTGACCAATCGTCATCGTCTAAATTTTTCAACTTGAAAGTACCCAGACCTTTTGTAGCATCTCGACCAGCAAACATACAGTACGGTGCTCCTGAGTAATTAAATAGATTGGTGGATGGACAGAGATGTGCGTACAGGGAGAAAGAGAGAGAGAGAGAAAGTAAAAAACATGACACACGCAAATGAAAAAAAAGAGAGAAATACAAGATGAAAACTATAATTAATGAAATTACCTTGTCCATAAAATTTTTCACCGGAAGTTACATCGAATACATCGCCAACAAGGGCAATATATATAAGCTTTTTGTCATTAGTTCCATCATATTTCCTTAATTCCTCAACAGTAAAAATTTGTAAAGATTTCTTATCTTCATTCTCAGTATCACCAACAGTATTTAGTTCCGCCATTACGTAGACCAAGAAAGTAAAAATTACTGCAATCAGGTGCAAGAATATTAGATGTAAAGGAAGCAATTAGGTAGATAAGGTACTGAAGTCTATTATTGCATTTGTATCGAGTAATCTAACACTAATAAACAGATTTAGTACAATTTCTTCAAAAGACAAACAAGATCATCTGTAAATGTCGTAAGCATTTAAAAGATGACTTTATATATCTTTTATATGCTATTTGTAGATGATAAATCAAATGACTCTAGGTCGAAATAAACAACAACTGTAAAACTTTTCTAGTGAACAAGGTTCTTACGTATTTTAGAATGATTAATTTTATAGGAAGTTACTAATGAACTAAATGCAGCAAATTACACTTGGAACGTGATGTCTGCGTACAGCTGCATATCTCTAATTAAGAAATTTCTTTGATGTTTCAAACAAGACTTAAGTTTACCAAAAAAGTGGAACTTTTCACTTTTTTCTTATTTAAATAGTTTGTTTAATGGGATTATTTATCTTTAAAGATGAATCTTATTATATTACATGTATAGATATACATATATACAATATATATAAATTTGTATACAGTAATAATATATTCTATTTTATACTCTAGAACGGAAATAACGTAGCTGATTATTCCTCATTCTACGAAGAATAGCATGTTTTATATATCTTGGAAGATTGTTGTTTTTTCTTTGAATTAATAGCTAATTTATTAGATTTTAACTATCTATTTATATATTAATGTATATCTAACAGAAGGAATAAATTTTGTACGGTAAAAGTATGAAAAGTCAATAATAAGAGAAATATAAATATATTTCCTAGTATACCTGCAAAAAGTAATAAAAAAAAACCTCAGTTAGTCCTCTTTAAAGTTGGAGATGTACTGCAGTAGATGATTTGGCGAGGCGATGCTTAAAAAATGGACAGAAGAAGCGCCATCTTTAACTAGAGGATTATTCTAATCACCTCACTCACTTCCTATTATCACTGTCATTATCTCAAACAATTTTAATGCTTTAATCAATTGATATTTTCTGCTTAATTATAAATGATTTGTTTTCTTTCATTGTCAAATTTTTCACTTCTAATAAAGAAAACAGTAAAGTCTTTTTTTTTTTAAAAAAAATGTTTCATTCATTCATTCATTTATTAATTAATGTTTTTGCTTTAGTGAAAGAAAAGGACATTTAATTAATTTCCTAATTTGTTATACGTAATAATTATATTTTTAGTTCTTTTCACAGAACCTCTTCTTCTCTTCCCCCTTCAGTAGTTATGATTGAACTTTAATGGAACTTTTTTTTAGCTCAAGGTCATTACCAACGCCATCTACATCTACATGCATATAGTATATAATCATATAGATGTATTCAACAAAATCCAACAACATGTAGTTTTTTATTACTAATATTGATCAAGAATAGTAAATATACGGTTGAAAGAATACAAATCGAGGGCTGGGAGTATAGTATGGCTGTTGAACAAAATTTTAGTTATACTGATAAGAAAGCTGCTTTATTATCAAATATAAAAATGATTAACATAGCTTCGATCACTACGAGTTAATTCGAAACAGATGGCGCAAAAATCATATAAAACAGTGAGGACTGGCCTGGTTAATTTTGGAAAGAGTATACATTGTTATTCTATTATTAATGTTATTCTTATCATGATTTCTTTTCTTTTCTCTCTCTTTGCAAAAGAATAGATACTACACTTATTGATACCAAAGAATCTTTTGACCTATCAATATACATAGACGAGTAAGGAGAAAGATAAACAAGAAGGAAGATAATCAAAAATGAATCAATACGCTTATAGAGAAACATTTAAAAACATCTTAAAATGCAATAATAGTCGTAATCGACTCGTATTCAAAGGTTTACTATTTGGGGAAAAGACTCCCATCTCCGTATTTTCAAGTTGCAGTTTTTCTACCAGGTATTTTAGTTATATTTCTCTTTCCTCCTCGCTAGAGAGCTACATTGTTAAGAATTTTGTCATGACCCCATTTATATTCTCTTCGTATAATTTCACTAAAGGCAAGAGAAAGATGGTTTTAGCTATAGTCATGGTAGTTCGACTAAACGTCTACTTGGAAAAACTATCGGTCAATTATTGGAGGAAAGAGCGGAAATGCATCCGGATAAAGAAGCCGTAATAGTCTCCAAGGAAAATGCCCGATTGACTTTCGAACAACTACTACAGCAGGTAAAATTAAATATATAGAAGAATTATAATAGACTTTATCAACAGCCAACACCAAGAGTGCAGTTAATAAAATATATCTTTTTACCTTAAAAAACAATAACAGGCCGATAGACTCGCCATGGGATTAATATCTATTGGAGTAAGAAAAGGCGATCGTGTTGGTATTTGGAGTCCAAATAAAAAGGAATGGGTACTTGCCCAATACGCGACCGCAAGAGCTGGAATGATGCTAGTCAATATAAATCCAGCATATCAAGTTGGTGAACTACAATACGCTATGCAAAAAGTCGGAATAAAGGCACTTATATCAGCGGAACAGTTTAAAACTCAAGATTATTTTAGCATGTTGGAAAAAGTATGTCCAGAATTGAACAACTGTAAACCTGGCAATATCAAAAATCAAAGGTTAACTACGAATTAATGAATATGTATATGTTATTGTTTATTTTTTCATATATAGTCTTCCAGAATTTCAAAGTTTAATTATGATTTCCGACAAACAATATCCGTAAGATTTCCACTTAAAAATACTATTTCAATATAATATCAAAGGGATTAATAATCGATTAATAACAGTGGATCATTTACATTCTCCGAAATTATGGACGCCGGTGATCAAAGCCATAAAGGAATTCTAGATCAGATAAAGTCCACTTTACAATTTGACGAACCGATTAATATTCAATTCACATCTGTAAGTATAAGTTATACTATTTCTCTGCTTTTTACATGCAGCATATTGCTCTTTCTACTTTTCTTTATAAAATCATAGTTTAATCTTGTTTTACTCTTATCTCTCCAATTAAAAAGGGAACTACAGGTTCTCCTAAAGGAGCTACTCTTTCTCACCATAATATCGTTAACAATTCAAATTTGGTTGGCTACAGGTGCGGATATGACGTCAACGTATGTATTGAACTTAATGACTTCTTTCTAATTAATTTTGAATTTTAACTATAAATACTATAAGCCTGCAAGAATAGTTATACCTGTTCCATTATACCATTGTTTCGGGATGGTTCTTGGAAGTTTAATGAATGTTACACACGGCGCAACAACCATTTTGCCATCTCCATCTTTTGAACCAAAAGCCGCACTAGAGGCAGTTGTCAAAGAAAAGTAAATCAAATTATCAACAATACATACATATACCATAGTTGTATAAGGAATAAATTATATTATGACCTTTATAGAGCAACGAGTTTATATGGAACACCTACAATGTTTATTGATATGCAAAATCATCCGGATTTTGGTAAATACGACCTGTCATCCTTATATACCGGTTGGTTATTTTTTCATTTCGATTTCTATGGACAGTATAAGTAATAATAATATTAAAAAGAACAAACTTTCTATTGAAATTAAGGTATTATGGCTGGATCAACTTGCCCAACTGAAATAATGAAAAAGTGCATAAGTAAAATGTGTATGAAGAATATTACAGTTAGTTGTCTAACGATAGTGTGCCTCTTTTTATAATAATTCATAAATATTAGTCTCTCTCTCTCTCTATATATATATATATATATACTTTAGGGATTAAAAGGCTTTATGGATTAATTATGTTTGAATAGATTTGCTACGGAACTACCGAAACTTCACCAGTAACCTTTCAAACGAGAATGGATGATGACTTCGATTTAAGAGTTAAGACGATCGGTGTACCTCTAGATCATATTGAGGTTACTGATGGTATCACTTGTGTACTATGGTGTATCTAATTTATTAGGTGTTCATAGGTAAAGGTTGTTGATGACGAGGGGAAAATAGTACCTACGGGCGTTGTGGGTGAATTGTACACGAGAGGGCACGCAACAATGCTAAATTATTGGGAAGATGAGGCTAAAACGGCAGAAGCCATCGGTCACGATAGATGGTATAAAACAGGGTAAATGACCTTTTCGATAAGAAAAGATAAGTTGATAGTTATTATTGAAATAATCTTGTTTATTTATAAAGTGACTTGGTTTCCCTGGACGAAAATGGTTACGCTGTAATTGAAGGTAGAAAAAAGGATATGCTTATAAGAGGTGGAGAGAATATTTACCCAGTAGAAATTGAACAATTTTTATACGAAAATGACAAGATTGAAGACGCTCAAGTAATCGGTTTGCCCGACGAAAGGCTTGGCGAAGAGATATGCGCATGGATAAAGTTAAAGAGTGGCGAAAAATCAACTGAAGAAGATATTAAAGAGTTTTGTAAAGGGAAAATCGCTCACTTTAAAATACCGAAATATATCATTTTCGTAGATGAATTTCCCATGACTGTAACGGGAAAAATTCAAAAGTACAAGATGAGAGAAAGGACTATTGATATGTTGAATCTTTAATAAAAATGAAATATTAAACATCTTTTATCAGATATTTCTTGTTTTCTTGCTTGTTTTTAATACGTTTCCTATGTAATTTCTTTATCTTCTAATCAAACGATGATATTCAGAATATTTTTGCTTTTATCCTTCAATGTATAAACTAAAATTACAACGCCATCTACTGGAATTATTTTATGCTTTTGTTGTATCGGTCGGCAATTGGCGATCTAAATTTTTATCCCTTTAACAATAGTTAAGCAAAGATTGAATAGGAAAGATTTTAATTGATATTTAAAATTTGAAGTATATTAAAACACTCTGTCAAAATTCTTCTATGACTGAATTCCCATCAATTGACATTGCTCTGAAAAACAATCTTGGGATAAGCCTTATCGATAGGCCTAACAGGCCAAAGCTTGATTGGCTCTTGTATCGACCAACAAGAGCGGAGCACAAAAGACTTTGCGATTATTAATGAGTCGTTTCATATAGGGATCGTTTCGAAGCCAGTTATTCTTCTCTTCAATTTAGATTATGCCACCTGAACCGACTGTCATGAATTCCAAGGATAATGAAGATAATTTAATAAAGTCACAAGGCTATAGAAACGATAGGCTAGTTAAGGAATTTTTTTCTAAAGAGCCAACAATTTATTCTCATGAAATTTACAAGAAATCATCGAGAGTATTTGAAAAGCTAAGAGAAGAGAATTCGGCAAATTCAACGGAGGAGATAAATTTTGAGAATGAAAATGAAATGAGACTAACATTCCAATTGGCCTACGATACTTTAATATGTAAGTAAACTGATTGTTCGTTTTTTGCCTGTTTGCATACTTTTCCGTATGCTTGTTTCATTCCTGCTAATTATCTCTCTCTTCACAATATTTAAATATGGTTATTTTTGAAGAGAGGAAAAAAAATCGAATTTGCCACTGCATAATAATCTTATTCAGATGATTGTAATCCGAGTATTAATTAGTAAGGAATTAACTTTTTATTAGTATAAACCTTCCGCTCTGATAAGTTTATGAACGGTTTGAAACAGAACAATAGAATATTTCATAGAGGATCTACTCATGAATTGTACACAGATCCACTTATATTCTCTTTCATTTTTATTCTTGTTTTTTACATTCCATATACTATGTAAAGTACTCTTCTTTGCGAAATTTTTAACAACTTTTCTCCGTCTTCGTCTCTGTCTCTTTCCCATAATCATTTCTTCCTCTGTCTATTATACATTTCATTCCGTAAAGAGAGGAGGTAAAAAGAGAGATTATAAAAATTAATCTCTTCAATAATCAATAATCATACATTGTTAAAAGGCTACATAGCTTATGGCTTTTGAACACTAATTTTATGGTATATTACTTACGGTACTTCCGCTCGAGTGATTGTCATCTTTTATTGCTGTTATTTAACTTTTTAGCCAACTTTCTTAAAGAATGCTTTTAGGGTAAATCATTAAACTTTCTAATATCTTTCTACCTTATTTATCCAATATATCGTTATTTTCTATCTCATTTTTGATGGGATATTTATTCTCTTTTCTCTTTCATACAAAAAAGCAAATGAACGATAAACTTTAACAAATATGACTTAGGTGCTAGTTACATAGTCACATAAAAAAAACTAGCCTCTGTCCTACTAGCCGAACATGAAAACAGTTAGAAAAAAAAAACAACACAATCCCAATTTTTTTCTGTAGGCCTATTGATTAGTGATAAAGAAATATTTATAAATGTTCTCTTTTTTTTATTTTGCTTTTATGTATATACACGTAAAAATTGTTACGTTTGGAGAGCGAGAGAGAGAGAGAGAGAGGGAGAAAGAAAGAAAGACTGTTATACAAGCGGATTTTTTATTCTATATATTTTCAACACCCCTACTGTTGACCCAATGATCTATTAAAGTTTTCATTCTCTCAGGCTTATTCCATTCCCCTCCTCTCTTTTCTTCTTTTTTTGTGTCTGAAATTCATATACAGTTCATAAGTCTTTCTATTATTAATAAGGATTAGGGATCTTCTATTAAATTCCCAATACAAAATTAATAAGCAAATAGCCTATAGGTAGACGTTTAAAAAAATAATAAAGATTGCGTAATAAATAAGAAGTAACGAAGACTGAGATTAAATATGGATATAGCATATTTAGGCTATTCATATTCTCTAGCACTGTTTATTTGTTATTACACTACACACAGATAAACAAATATTACAAGAATTAGCCGAAGAAGTGGCTTTCTTTTCTCAGTTTCCGGAAGTGAGTTGAATAACATTTTAGGTTGCCGTACTGATTAAATTGATTGTAAGAATTTGTTTACGATTTATTGGCAGTTCCGGGACCAAGAGTCAATATGCTATGTTATGATTTACGACTTCCAGAAAAGACGCTTCCAAACCAGAACGCCTATAGAAGATGAAATTTTAGACGATGATCTATTGGATATTGAATCGGCAATTATAAAATGTCGAACAAAATTAGGCGCCGCTTTGGCTAGATCGAGAATAAAAGCGCAAGTTCAACATTTACAAATGCTACTTCCGGCAAACTGTAGAGATACGGGCGATAAACAACGATACTTTTACACTTGGATTAATGAATTTAAAACAACGTTCGTATACTTTATTCAAAACAATTGAACACGATCGATTTCTTCAGGTTCACCCCATAAATAATACGTCTTTTTTCATTCTAAACAGTAAGGAAGAGGCTTTAAGGAATTTACATTTGTACGGTTTCGATCCAATTGAGAATTTAAACAACATAAAGGAGTGCGAATACTTTCTAGATCGTCATTGCGATGACGTCATCGCCTTTTGTATGGAAGATCGGGAAAAGTTGAAAGAAACCGCTTTGTTCAAAGAAAATCGTTTAGTTATGCAGGTAAAGACGAAAGAAACGTTATGTAGGGTTGTAAATATTTAATATTTATATTGGTCTTATCGCCTTTGATATCACTGATAAGCGGCGTTTAATAAACTATTTAACATTGTACATATCTAGAGAGTTTTTTTGATCAACAGGATAAGTCATCTTGTTTGGCCGTAAATAGCGTAAAGTCCTTGGTAAACGACGACGAAGACATTCTAATTTATGGATCAAATTCTGGATTAGACGCCGCACACTTAGCGTCACTTTTATGTAAATTAAATGTAAGTATATCGGTACCTTTATTCTTTTGTATAATCAATAGTAGATTTCATAGTTGTGTTGAATTTGCAAATTAGTGTTGATTTTAGAAGGAAGGAGCTAAATGTAGATCTACTAAAATAGTCACGTAGAAAAGATCAACTTACGTTTAACATATTTTTTATATACTTAAAACTTATCTTATTCGCCTTATTAAATATTTTAAGTAATCATACAATTGCGCAACATAACATAGGAGGAAAAAAGAAGTTGTCTTCCTCTCTTTGCCCTTATCCGAAAACATATTTCCTATTATATTTTAAATAATAAATGATATAATTTCGTTTGCTTTCCACTCGAAAATGATATTTGCTTTCTATATACAGAATACAATCTATGTTTTTATAAAAGAAGAAAAACTTGATAAAGTAAAAAGAAACTTTGAAAGAATAGGTGTTGATAGAAGTAAGTAATAATTAATTCTTCTTCTTCTTCTTCTTTTCTACTATGTAAATAATTTAACTTTTTAATTATGCTCTTCAATTCCCAAAGAACAATAAAAATTAAAATACAAACGTAGAAGAAGAGACAGTTATTCCATTTATATCCTTCTTCTATACACTCCTATCTTTATTCTTCTTCTTTATTCTTTTCTATAAAGATAGAATGAATAACTTAATTGTTAACAATAAAAAAGTTATGTATGCCCCTTATCGACTAATTTAATGTACCACAATGGTGTTGACTCGATTTATAGATTCATAAGACAATTTTTTTGATTTTTTCATATTTTTATCAATAAGTAATGGTTAACGGATTTCTTTATCTATTAATTTTTTACAATTATTATTTTCATTTATACTATAGATATTCAACTTATTACGGATCCTCTTGAATCTATTGCCGGTGATGATATACGCTTTAAACATATTAAATTAGTTTTGTTTAATGCCAAATGCACTAAAACTGCTGTTGCAAATCCGGTTGAATTTCTGGTTGCTGAAGATGAAGGTTAACGATAACAAAACAATAATAAAATAATTATATGAATAATAGAGTACTTATCATAAAAATTCCTGCAGATATGCTCTTACTAAAGGAATTTATTAATAGCGATACAAATCCGGATAGATTAGGAAAAGTGATGTGGCAAATAAATTCTGATTTACGAAAATGCTTGAAATGTACGTAGAATTGATAGAATTGCAGATTTTTAAAGTTAAATCTATTATATTTATAGTTCCAAGAGTTCAAGGTATTGTATACTTGACGAGATCGAATCAAGAAATCGAAAATGAGACTGTTGTAAAGAAAGCCATTGATTTTATTAATACTGTTCAACAAAAGAAGAATCCATTTAGAGTTTCTCCACCTGTTCTTCCTCTTACAGGCGAAGAGATTGATGAACAGGATATACTCCATGGAAAGTTTATCAAATTTCCATCTTCAAAAAATATGTCGGGCTGCTTTATAGCTACTTTAACCAGAGAGGTAATAAAATTCGTATACATTATATATGAAATGTATGTTCAAGTGTATAATTTGAACATGAATACTAATATGTCTATATTTTCCAAGTGTTTACATATATATATATATATTCTATTCAAGTCTAAAAGACGTCACTAGTGTTTTTCTTTAAAAGTAGACTTTGTTTTTTTCTTATATTCATCTTCTCTAATCGTTTATTTATGCTTCATATTTACGATATTCTAGGCGGAAGATATTAAGGAAGCTGCCAAAGACATCCTCGCCAGAGCTGCGGCAAAGGGGTTATTTTCTAAGAATAGTACTTCCGCTCCAAACGAAGATAATAGTCCACCATCGAAACCGACCAAAAAAACTAAAAAGAAAACCAAATCGGCCAAAATCAAAAAACTTGAAAATTCAAAACCGTCTTCGTCAACTGTACTACCCCCAGTTAGTTCTCCAAATCTAGCTCAACGTTATCGTTCAAAAGATCAGTCGCATGAATCCTTATTAAAGCATGACATCACTTCCAAGTCACGTGATACTCATTTAAACAGAGATGTTAGTCATAAGACTTTTTCGTCACCCGTTACTGCTCACTTGTACGATTTAGAAATAGAGACCTCGATAGCTAAAGAAAAAGCTACAAAGTTGCCGAGGTCTAGAACGGAAAATCGACTTTATCGAAGGCTACCTAACGATAATGAAACGTCGATAAATTCCGTTACACAAAATTCCAATTCTTCTCCGCAACGATTATTCAATCAGAGAACTGACGAGAACGGAGGGGAAAATTTCCTAGAAATGTCTAATGCAAGCGATCAGTTAGGAATGGCAAGATCCAAATCGGAGAGCAGAATATTACAAAGAGCGAATACAAGCGAGTCTCTAGACGCTTATTATAAAACGAAATCAACAAAATTGTCAAGGTTTTCTAGACCAAAATCGAAAGTGAGATTATCTAAAAAGGTATGGGAAAGATTAACAAGCGCTACTAACGCTAATTCAGCTTCTAATGACGTCTTACGACGAAATCCTATTCAACATCCAAAGCCTTTCAGATGATTAATCTAATTAAAAAAAATTGAACTTGATTCTCCTCATCGTTGCGTAAAACTTTAACCATCTCACTTGATTAATTCTCTGTTCATTTTTACATTAATTTTCTATTAATATTTTACTTTCTTGCCTTATTTTTTTTCATTTGATTTTTGATGTGATACTTCAGCTTCTTTTATTTAATTAGAGTTTGATGAAATCTATTGATATTTCGTTATTGTTTTCCTTCTTTTTCCCCTAAAAAAGATAATGAATTCAAGAGCAAAGATATCAGAAGAAAAGACAACTGAATAGAATTAGAAGAAGGAGTGGCATTTGAATTGAAAACGTTTTTCCCATTTTCTACTGTAATTATTAATGTTTAGCTTTCCTATTTTGTTATTGAAAGAAGATTTTGTCTGTCTCTCTTGAAAGAAAGACAAATGAAAAGAAATAGAACGAAAAGATGACTGACGGACAAAGAGACAGGTAGAAAAACAGACAGACAACCGGTACTTTTTTTATATTTATGCAAGTGGGAGGGAGAGAGAAAGAGATATATGGATAGATATATAGACAGATAGCTAGATAGATAGAGGCAAAGAGAGAGAGAGAGAGAGAGACAAAGACAGACCTTAATTATGTTTAACTATAATAAATTCGTATCACTTTACACACGACTTATGCAATTTATGATATTAAATTATCATATTAGAAATTGCTTGTTTCAAATGAAACAAACAATGTAGGAAATATAGGAGTATTAATTTGCTATACAATATGAAAGAGAAGAGAAAAGATTATTCATACACGGTCAGGTATATTATATTTATTATGAACGAAACAAAAAGCATAAACAAACTCCAAGTACAAAACATTTTCATGATATACATTAATTTACTTAATAAAAATTTCAATGATTTACATTAATAATAAGTGCTAACTCTTACAAATATATTACTGTATAAGTATTCACAACATTCAATCCTTTTTCACCTGCCTAGCTATTTTTATATTTTAAACTTGTACACCCTCTCTTTTTCTTCTTGTTTGTTTTATCGTATAGGGTAGCATTCTCAATTACTAACACTACTATAGGCGGGTGGACTCGAGTTCATATAGAATTGAACCGTTTCGTAACTAGGCGGCTTTATAACGTCCAGTGTTACTCGGGGGCAAGTTTGAGATACGGTAGGTATTTCTCTTCCATCTTCCGAATGGTACTCGGGGGGTTCACTATCGGAATTTTGCCTTTCGGAAACTTCGGCTTCAATCTCGGGTTCCGGATGGGAAAGTCTCCCTATTTTCAACATAATAATAAATTTCTTGAGACGACTTCTAGTGTAAACTTTCTTTGATACTGAACAAACGACAATGAGCCCAAAGACAACAAGAGTTCCAACAGATACTGGAATAATAAAGGTCAAAAGCTGATTTTGTTGTTGATCATCGTGAGAGAAGCAGCTGATCTTCTTGGTAGACGCTCTAAATGTTTGATTTTTAGTGGAGAAGACGCACTCAAAATAGTCGGTTTTATGTAATTCAGAGCATTTATATTTCCTTTCAACGAAACCAGTAGAATTACGAATTTCTATATAAGGCATACGATAGGATCTCTTTAGATATTTTTTAAAGCGATTTTGAAAAGAATATCTAAAAAATGTAAAATTAACTACAGCGTATCGAGAACATCCTTTAACCATACAGCTTATCAATGTTGAATCGGATTTGTCTTTTGTTGATTTTATCTCAAATGTCGACTTATCAACTTTATTATATTTCGTTATGGCGTTTAATTTTATAGACGTTGAATAATCTTGACCGTTAAAATTACATTTTCCGTAGAAACTATCAGTCGATTTCCTATTTAATAGTTGATATCCGACAATCATATAATTCATATCGCAGTTGCATAATAACCTGTTTTTATTTAAATTTATGTTAATCAATCCGCTCTGATTTCTGCGCAATAGTTCTGTTACATGAGACGATTGAGCCATGTTTGATAGTTCATTATTTGATAAATCGAGAGTTTCCAAATGAGTCAACGTTCTGGGGACACTAAAGGTGGTAATTGCATTGTAAGAGAGGTTTAAACTCTTTAAATTATTTCCAGAAATGTTGGGTATAGACTGGAATTTATTAAAACTTAAATCAAGCTTTTCTATACTGGAAAAATTCATTTCCAAATTTTCTAATCCGCAAAATCTACAAGATAATTCCTTCAGTTTCTTTCTTTGAGGAAGATTAATAGAAGTTAGAGAAATCCTTTTCGATTTGCTTCGAATAGCCAGACTTTTCAACTGATTCAAATCTTCAGAAATTGAAAATGATTGACAATTTACATTCAAGTAGACAGTTTTTAAAGTTTCTTTACAAAAGTTGAATTTAAATTCGCAAAGATTAACCCTTGCATTTAGATAGAAGCTTTCCAACTTCATATTGTCGCATAGATCTTGTGATGAGTCTAGACTCAAGCTAATATAAGATGAAAAGATAATAATGGTCAAGTGATTTAGACTTATGTTTTTCAAGCTTTCCAAGAAAGCTGAATAAGAGACAAAAGCTTTACGTTTATATATTTCCAGATTATGAACTTTTCCTTTAAACGATGAAGAAAAGGTTTCTATTGAACTCTTAATCTTTAAATTCCTTATAGACTGATTGAAATCAGGTTTAAAAATTATTTTTTTAACATTTTCACAATTGATTTTTAAAGTTGTGAAATGACTCCAACTGTTTGAGAGCGATATAATTCGAAGGATGGTGGCCGAATCTTTACAATTCACGTGATCTTCATTACCCCTCTGCTTGTTGTCAAACTCTCTATAAAAATTCGTCAATTCATAACAAGAAGTCATGTAATAATCCATAAATAAAAATAACGAAATAATCAGGCATCTTCCAAAAATCATAACAAACAATAAGGTATTTCTTCTCTTTTCCCTATTTTTCTACCTTCTTATTTAAAACATTTCTCACTTCGACGTAAAAGAGACTGTTTTAGTATTACTCTCTTCATCTGCAAATGAATCAATCCCAGTTTGCATCACACATGCATTCATGTTTCTACAGCCTATTCTTATCTGATTCATAAAGCAACAGTCTTTTTCCTCAGCATAAAAATAAAATGTTGTTAGTCATGAAATATTCGTATTTTAAATTACAATTGTAGGCCTTCAGAAGTAATTGAAGAATCATGAAACTATAGAAGATATTATCGTTTTAAACAAATTTTTTTCATGAGATTTTTCTTTATTGTTTAATATAAAAAATTTTTTAATGTATTCATTAAATAAAGGGATGAAGAAGAAGACTATAAAATATGCAAATTAATAGTTAGACAACAGATAATTAGGCACAATAGTTTTTAATAGCTTTTATACACGTCTATACTTTGCAGTTTTGCAGTTGTCATTATGACTATTGTTTTACTGATGAATTCAATTCTTTTAGGAAAGGAGAATTTCAGTGGATAGAAAGAAAGAAAATGACACAGCATTTATCAACATAGATTAGAATCTTTTTTATATTATGGGAGATAGATTAATTTTTCTAAAGACACGCCTAAGCACTAACTATATCACTTTTCCTCTTTGTCTTCTTCCTCTTCTTCTTCTCTCTCTCTCTTTCTCTCTCGCTCTCTCAAGCTCGCTAATAGAAAGCATAAGCAACTCTCAATTACAACTTTTTATCCTTCTAACAAATGAATATCATTATAAAATATTAAAAAACATCTCCTTATCACTTTGTCAAATAAATTAAATATGTTTCTTTCTTTTCCTTTCTATAGATCAAAATTGTAATAGAAAATGGGTAAAAAGGGTAAAATTTCTTTTTTAAGTGCAGCCATTCGTTGAAATATTTATTGTTGAAATAATCTTTCTTTTCATAAACCATCACCTTTTTCTTTAGAATTTTCATTTGATTTATTTAAAATCATGCATACTAATTCTATCTATCTATCCTCCCCTCCTTTATTTATTTCTTTCTACCTCTCTCTCTTTCTCTTTGTTTCCCTCTTTCTTTTCATTTCTTTTTTTCCTCAAAGGTTAATTAATAACTCATATTGACATTTTCGTTATAAATTCTGGCATAGATAGCAAGGAACTAAAGATAATATATGAGAAAAGAAAAAAAATGAGTGTAGTATTGTTCAAAGGGATTGAATGGCATTGTGAAAATAATTAAAAACCAATCAAGCTTATAAACTATAAAAATTAATATAGCTTCTTATTGTATGTGTCTTTGTGGAAAGGGTTAGCAATCGAAATCATTAGAAATTAACAAACTATCAACAAAAGTTAGATGGAAAACGATGAAGTAATATAATGCGAATATCTCTTGTTTCGACTAAAAAAATAATGAAAAAAACATGGAAAAAACTGCTGACAGTAGAAAATTTGTAGGCGTTGATGGAAAGAAAGTGAAGAATAGAAAAAAATTATTTTCATTTGTATTTCAAAAATCAATTATGAATATTCATAAGCACTTGAAAAAAAACGCTTCTTTTTTGTTTGAATTATTCTCTATGAAGTATAGAAGCTATTGATGGAGCTAATCATTTATAAAAGAATTTTGCGGTATACATATACAGTGTATCCATATAATAAACAGTACGTACATACGTGTATACAGTATATCATAGTTAAGTAAACGCTTACGATATACTGTATTAGTTTAAATGTTTTCTATGTTTTTAAAATTTTTAATCTATTCTTTGCAAACCTTGTAACTTTAGAATATTTCATTTGCTCTTAATTTATTCAAAATATTCATTTCTTGGAAAATTCTATCATATTACGATGTAAAAGTTTTGAACGGTGCAATCAATATTTTATAACATCAACTTTGTAGCTCCCTCTATCGGATTAAAATTTCTTTTTAAAATTAGCCCGACTGCTGGCGACAACGCATAGTCATGTGGCTATGGGACTTACTAAAACTTGGTTATAATTTTTCTTATTAACTAAATGAAATACTTACTCTACGATTTCAACGATAAACCCCGTAGCAAGTCTTCACCATTTGTCACCACAGTAACTTTTATATACTGTATTTGTCTTAGAGTTTCGTTAGAAAGAGATGCTTTGGCAGATAAAATTATTAAAGATGTTTTAATAGAAAGCGACGTAATGTTTATATACAGAAAAATTATCTTGGTCTAGCTTTATGCAACGAAAATGCCTGAATTTTCTTTCTAGCCTCCTTCATACAGTTAACAACCTCCGTGGACAAAGTTCCCCTATCCCTTCTTGCTGCTTGCAAGAAAACATCACGAGAGTCCCTAATATTTCCTCGTAATATCTGTATCCTTGTTTTTCGCCTTAAAAAAATAGGATTCATTCACCTCTACATTTTGATTGGGACTACCAATCATATATCGGGAAAATTAAACTTTATTCGGCTAATTCTAGAAGTGCGACATCATAAGATTATCAACACCTGAACAGGCTAATTTTATTTCCATGTATCTGCCCTTAACTTTTCCTTTGTTTACACTTTTTGCAGTCATAATAAAATTGGTCAGGAGAATTTTGGTAATAACTTATGTTCGGTTGAAGCTAGCGTACTTGTATTGGTCGTTATATGCGAATACTTTCTTAGCAAATCCCATTCATTGCTGGTAAGCGGTTTGACTCTGTGTTTTGTCTGCAACACTGAAACCATAAAATTTGGCGGAAATTCCAGTGCACCTAAGCTCCAAAACCTTACACTTAGAATAACTGAAGTTGCTATGAAACTAATAAAATATTATGAGTTTGTATTCATTTCTAAGAGTTTCTTAACCTCTTTTGACACATACGTCACGTATTGTGTTTCAAGGTTGTATTATCCCTCTGTCTCTCTCTCTCTCTCTCTCTCTCTCTCTCTCCATGTTAAATATTGAATAATATCATGGGTTTATAATTTTATTTATAAAATCAAGTATTTTAGTAATGAACTAGAAATAGTAAAAAAAGCATTTCGGCCTAGTTTGACCTTGATATTTGTAACATGGTATTTAGTTTTAGGGGAATTGGTTTACGGGATACGGTGGTATTTCGTGATTTGAACCCTTGGTGTAAGGTTGATACGGAGGCTGATTATATACTGGCTGTTGATTCTGCATTGGCGGTTGATAAGGAGGTGGATGAACCAGTGGATTTTGACCGTATGGGGGTTGTGAAGGATACTGTGGAGGAGCTTGTGTGTGTATTTGCGATGAAGTTTGAATGATAACTGGTCCACCGTTTGTTGGATAGCCGCCAACCGTTTGTCCTTGTACAACTGCTACACATGGTGGTGCCGCTTTCGGTGGTGAAGATTTGAAGGCCAGACAAGCGTTAATAACCGAAAAAATTGTAGATATAATAGCTAAACCAAAACAGGCGTGAAGGTGCTCTCTCCCGCTTGAGCCTATTTTTGCTACGAAAACTATCCAACCAATTGCCGTAAGAAATGCTGTAACTGAACATAGAATACCCAAAATATTTTTATTGAGAGGATATCTTGGCTGTTCCGAACAGTTGATTAAAAGTGAAAATATTCCAGACACGACAATCATGAGAGTTGATAGTATCATCATGGCTCGAACACTTTTTAGCCAGTCTGTATAAGTAAAATTTAATATTTAATTTAACATGTAAGTACTTTATCAGTTAAACAAATAATCGCAAATCAGTTATATATATAAATATCATAGAGAAAAGTAATTTACCTGTTGGATTTTCTAAAGATCGGCACGATGATATACCAAATGCACCACTCACTGTTACACAAATTTTAAATAATCCCACTTCTTGGCGAGAATATATTGAGCTAAAAGAAGAACCATAATGTAGCCAATGATTACTTCCAGTAACAACAGCCTGCACTATAAAAGTCACAGGTAACATACAAAAAAGTAACACTTTAAATTGCCAAGGATTTCGAGTAAAAGTACTCATTTTATGTTAACGCACCGATTTCTTCAGCACAAATATCGTTTTATTCATTCCCGCTAGTGTGTCGTCTGCTTTTTGGTAACTATAAAAACAGTCACTAAACAGAGTGCATACAAACCAGGTATTTTCATTCAAGCGATAACAATGGTTACGTCTACGTTTCATAGAGCATAATTTTATAATAAAAGATAGTCAATTTTATGGGTAAAATGAGTCATCGATAACGCTATATATATATATTATATATGTTATATCTATACAGTATAAATTTATACTTTGTTACGCCCAATGAGTACATTTCCGAAGGAACCAAGATATTTAAAAGTATATTTAAATTTCCGTTAGAAATACAACTACATAATTATTCCTATTATATATAATGTATAGGTTTAGTGCATTTTACTTGATATAAAGAAGAGAGATAATTGATGATTCAGGGAATTTAACGGTAGGGAGATGGTGGCCTAATACTCATTTCAGTTAAACTTGCTATTAATTTATAATGTGCAAGTTTATATTTTTTGTCTGTAGTTTAGACATAACCTACAATCGTTAACATTGAAAGACAGTAGGTCATACCTAATCAACAATAACTTTTACCGCTAGAAGTCTATTTTCTACTTTAAAAACATTAGTGTATCGCCATCTATTGACTATAAAAGTTTCAATACCAAAGTTCGTTTCGTTAATAGTTAAAGGGCAAGAAGACGATTGTTTAAAAAAGCTCAAGATGTTAAGGAGATAAAGAAATAAATAGAATACATAGATATACAGTAAAAATATTTAATTAGCTGACGTATAAATTAACTTTCCGCACTCATTAAAATATAAAGATAAGCGAGATCTTTCATTTATTTTCACAAGATTGAATAAATAATTGAATGTTCTTTGGCAGAATTCAATAACTGTTTCGGATGTTTGTAGAAGCCTGTTTCCTTAGTTATCTTGAATAAATTACGTATTGAGTATTGTACTAAAGGAAAGCAGTCAGATATCTCTATAAATATCTATGTATGTATACAACATGTATTTCGGTTTCGGCAGAATTAACGTATATTGTATACACTTTTTCTTATATTAAATGAATAAATAGACATAATATAAGTGCTGAAATATGAAGAAAATGTTCATTTTTGCATTCAATTGGTAAGATACTTGAAGTATTTAACTTTAAATCGCTTTCTCCTTCCATGCTTTCTTCAAGATACAAAAGTATTGTAAATGAAAAATGATATAGAATGTAAAAATTAAATAATATAAAAGAATCGTATAATAATAGACTAGTTTTTGAAATCGTGAATAAATCATCAATAAAAACAAAATCGAAAAATATCCTCTTATTTATCATATTATTGACAAAATAAGGTCTAAATTTTTAATAACTCCTACGTTAATATCTAAAATTACAATTCAATAAAGGGATGATATATACTATGTATTGATATATATATTTTATCACCTAAGAATCTATCAGATTCTTATAGAATGGAGGATAACTAAGTACACTTTCCTTTTGTTTTGACGTCTTTAGTATTTGTTATTATTTGTGTTTTCCTTTTTTTTTAGTATTTATAGTTATGGAAAACTTTGCTCTATGATCTATTATTACATTCTTTTTTACGTATGTCAACTAATTAAATACATTTCCTTTCGATTTTTCACTTTGTTTATATATAAATAGTCGATCTGAAAAGCTAAAGTTTTACATTTCAGTACGTTTTGTCATATTGATATATTAATTTCTGTTTACGTCATCGATACCTAACGAGTAATCAAAGGCATTCGGCTCTTAATATGACTTGGACAAATATCGTTCTTCTCCTCTCCTATACTCTTACCCTCAGTCATTCATTGGATTTATATATTTCTCAAATTCCATATCTTACTCAGACGAAATTGTCAACTTTGGATATTTTTAAAGACGATTTGCTAAGGGTTAGTGTTTGTTTTTTGTTTGTTTTTGTTTACGTATAAAAAACATAATACAGTCAAAAAGTTCTTAACTATACCATTTCGTTTGTCACAACAGTTTCTTTTTTAACTTTCTTTTTAACTTTTTTTTTCATTTAGTCTCATTTGAGGTCATCCGGAAAAGTCATTTTAAACAAGTCAACGACATTGACAAATATAGATATTAAAAATAAACTACTATATTGGATATTAGATGAACATTCTAGTAGTATAAATCCTTGTTCCGAAAATCTTATAGATGAAGCGTATGGGATTATTTTCGTTTTAAATAAATCATCAAGTACAGGTAATACAATTATCAATTACACGTTCATATGACACTTTCTGTGAATTTTTTATATAGAAAATGACGCAACTAAATGGGAAAGTAAATGCTACATAGATAGGAAGATACCTTTCGGAATTGTTGAATTGTCAAGTTTGGATTTTATAGAAAAGACACCTTTTGTTGAACGAATTTCAAGAATCCCTACACATGAATTCTCAACAGCTAATTTAGCACTGGAGCACATAGAGATAAATTATTTCAATCAAAAGTTTGTTTATATTCTCAATTTACGTTTGAATAATTATCTCTTTTCTCCTTCAAAGTAAGACATTTCCAGTGGATAAAGTTGTGAAAAAGAACAAGTTTTGTATATATTCACCAGAAAATTCTGCATTTTATATATCTGCATACAATAAATGGATTGACCGAATAACTATAGACGGAAATGAATCTTTTTCAGGTATCTAATATATATAAAAGTATATGAGCCCTACATTCCTGCTGATTTTATTGACAGCTGATTTTGGTATTAATATGAAAGATTTTAAATGTCAGCCACGTAACAAGAAGGTCACTTGCTTCAATCAGAATATTGGACAAGACAATATAACAGTTTTCTTCTCAGAAAGTTACTATTTATGCCAAATATCAATTCAGACAATAAACTTGGCGTATAAATCAAAATTAACGACCGAAGGTGAAAGTGTCCCATTCTCAATGGATAACAATCTCTCTATGAAGTTAAAGGAATATTTGGAGATTTCATTAACAAAAGAGCATTTGCTAGAATTAGTTGCTCTAAAGATAAGCTTAAATGGTAATGTAAACAATACAATAAAGAATTGTGAATAGTATAAACAATACTTTATATTATATTTCATTAATTTTTTCTTTAAAAAAAAAGATATTGGAAAATATAATTTTAGTATCCACATCTCAAGAAATATGTATTACAGCTGCGAATCACCCTTTACCTTTGAATTTAAAGGAAATAACAGTTGGATGGCGTTGCCTTGTTATGGTTTGAGTAAGGTAGCAAGAATTCACGCTAAATTCGATTCAATGGTGTTATTATACGTTCTAATTTATGGGAGGCGATTAGGTCCCTGTCATTATGAAAAATTGTTTATACCATATAAAATAAGAGAAAAGCCGAAAAAAGACTCTATTCTTAACGTGGTTAAAAATAAATTGTCATTGATTAGAAACGATAGTAACGTTCAAAATTCATATTTTTTGAACGATAATAACGAGCTTACTTGCCATACATTATCCGGAATATGGTATAGTTTTTTTGCAGCTGACTATAATATCATTAGAATAGAGATTAAAAGTGAACCAGTGCAATTGGTGGTTATGATCGTTAAGTTGATTGGGAAAGATAACAATTTGTCGTTAAATGTAAATCTAAATGAAAATTATACACTAGATGATAATTTTGTTGCCAACTCGATTGAATTGAGTGGAAAAGAAGAAATATCTGTTAAGATATGCGAAATTTACATTTATGGTATATTCAATTCAACAATAGGAATTGAACCGGTTGAAGTGAAAGAAAAATCTAAAACTTGTGATTATCTTGAAAAATTGAATGATAATTTTTGGTTGCCACCACTTCAGGATTATTGCTATAATTTAAAACGAGAGACACAATATATAATGTATGAATTAGATGATTATTATACAATTCAAAGAATATGGTTATCCCATTTGAACCACAGTGCTATTATTGATGTATCTGTTATAGGATCGAACTACGAAAACTACTTAAATGTTCAGGCTATGAAACCTTATAATATGAGAAGATTTTGCGCGGGAAAAACAACTTTATCAGACTATGTAACCATAATAAATTGCGTTGAAGACTCTTTTGGCGATAGATTATATATTTTTAGTCAGTTTGACCGTGTTCTAATATGTGAAGTCAAGTTTATTGGAGTGAAAATTAAAGTAGATAGTGACGAAATTTTATTGAGAGTTGAAAACATTTTCGAAAGTAAAGGAGTTATAGAGCTGGATACATTTTCAAATATAACATCATTAGCTATTCAACCATCAATTGATATTCAATACTATGAAGTTCTTGGTAGACAATTAGACTGCAGAATTGAAGAATGTACAAATGACAGTCAAATTGTATTATTTAGTTATAATTCAAGTAAGTATGGTATTCAAGACAAGAGAATGGAAAATTTATATACGATATACTCACCTCACTTAATTAAATATGTAACAATTATTAAGTCTTCTTCTCCTGATTCTATGACAGTAAAAATATTTGGAAGGTACCAGAGAGGAGGTAACAAAACATTTTCAATGAAATTTTTGCAGTTTCATCTGTTTTTTACCCTTTTCAATACAGATATCTCGCGAAGAATTCTTTCCGATTTCCAATTACCAGCCAACGCCCTTCTAAGAGCAGATATACATTCTTTAAAGGACTGCGGTCAAACTTGTCGTAATACAGCAAATTGTCGGCTCTACTCTTGGAGAAATATAGACAGCGAATGTAAATTTCATGATAAACCTGAAACATCTGGTACTTTAAGGGACATTTACACATATCGTGATTTAGATAATCCGAATGAAATGAAAAAGACGATAGTCTTCAGCCAATGTTACAATGAACCAACAAAATCTTATTGTTAAAAGAAGAAAAAGATTATTGTATCAAACTGATTAAGGAATTCTACAATACTGTTTATATAAAATATCTACAATATTACATTTGAATAAAGAGATACAAACTATAAAATGTATAAATACAAATTAAATAAAAAGGTGTTTATATATCTTGAATTGCGATAATTAATATTATTACCTGTTGTATGCCTATTTTCTATTTCTTTCTTTCGTTCTTTCTCTCTCTCTCTCTCATTCTATCATTCAATTATTTTAATTATCTCGTGCTTTCTCATCATTCAAATAATTCGCTTTTGAATAGACCGTCTTTAAATTTAAAATTCTCTGTCATGTGCCTGATAATGAGCTATTATAATTAATTACAGTATTATACAAAAAGGGGAAGGTATAATAGGCAACCAAATAATTTTTTGCATTTTACTGATACGTTAAACAATTATCGAACTCTTTCATTATGATAGTAACAAAGAGAGAGAGAGAGAGTGAGAGATCAATAGTGTTTTTTTTGAAAGAATATATTGGGTAATACACGGCTTTAGAGAAGGGAATTTAATGTGAATGTTTGACTTTCATTACTTTTTCTTTATTATGGCTGTTAATAGAAAATTGAATGTTTAGTAGGAAATGATACTCTCGATACTACTCATTTAGTTTTGAGTGTATGCTAATATTACTTTATTAGGCATTCGTATAAGTGGCTGACCAATATTTAGGCAGACGCAATTATCGTGCTTTGGGCAGAGAATTTATGATAATTCATATAGTCTCACAAGAATAAAGGTATTTATTTTACATTTACGAAAATGAATATATTAACACAAGAACAAAAATCACACAGGAAAATTTGAAAATAATGTCTATGTTTAGTACTGCGCCAAAAACGATAGTGGTTACAGCCTTCGTCATTCTTCCAATAGCTATCATCGCCCAACTGTTTGCATTAGTTACTAATTATTGGGTTTCTATAAAATTTTTCAATAAAGATGTTAGGTTGGACGAAGGATTATTTCGCGTTTGCGAAGTAGCCGATTCTGATGATTTTGGAGTGAGGAAAGTTTGCTTTACGATAGACCATGCTACACGTAAGATACAAAACTAAACAATAGACAATCGTTTAATACGCGATATGTAAATTCTAATAAAACAATATCTCTTCTATATCCCAGCTACGGTCCATGCTGTAAGAGCGATGATTATTCTCGGTTTTATAGCTGCACTGGCGGCCTGGATAATGAGTCTTGTGGTTTGCTTCTCACGAAAACCGTCCTATCCAATCAACATTTATGTTTTGGGAGGATTGAGTTTTGGATCAGGACTATTTACATTAATTGGTTGGGTGGTGTTTTTGGTCAAGTCCAATACCGACACTTACAAATACTTGTATGTAAACTTTTATCTAGCAGTTGTGTGTAGTTTTCTTCAATTATTATCTTCAATTATCTCGTTTGTATCGTCAAATCGAAAGGAAACAAGTACATATCTAAACTTTACAGATGACGATACAAGCCAAAATAAAAAGGATGTAAAATGAGAATTTTTAATTTATATTTTATAAACGTTTTTAAATGAGATAAAAGATTATTTTTCTCAATAAATAAGTAATAATTATATTATATCTTAAAACAATATCTATTCGTTTTAATCCTCATCTTTTATCATTGAATTATAAACTTTAATCCATATAGAGAGTATAATCTCTCTCTCTCCTTAAAAAAATTCTAATTATATCGTCTACAACAAGTTCAATGTAAATCAATTTATAATGGATTTTATACTCATTTAACCCAATTAGAGAACAAATTAAAAAAATAAAAAACATCACTCATCATTTTAGAGAAATAATAACCTAACTATTTAAACTTGTACTTAACTTAGCAGTTTATATTTCTGTATTTTCGTATTTTCCCTTGAATAGTACTAATAAACAATTTGCAGTAGATTGTATAAACTAGAATATACTATATATATATATTCATTACAAGTATATTGCTTTTATATAATATTTATACGAATAATGTATAATGTATAACAATTTTTTTTACTTATCAGTATTACAAACACAAATACTACAGTTGAATAAACACGCTGTTTGTACATGATTGTTTACTCTAATGTTTCGAATCTTTAGTATTAACAGTTTGTTAGTAATGGACACTTGACAACAAAAGACATTAAATGTACATGGAAATTAATAATGGAGTTCATTTATTGCTTTACTATTGATAAGAATTATTCTATAATAAGAAGATGGAGGAATTTAGAAACAAAGACGTCAGCGTGAATTAGTAGCTAGAAATAGTAGACCATTTCAATAAAATTGAGGCAAGAGTGGGAGAGTGAGAGAGACAGATAGAGGAAAATGGAGAATAAGTAGGATCTTCCTAGACGAAAATAGATACAAAGGGTATTTAAATTCTAAATTTACATAATTGAGGTTCACTGATGAGTAAGATTGTTAAAAGAAATTTTTTTTATAACTAGAGGCATCGACTTCAAGAGCTTATTTAAGAAAATATAAAGCATAAATCAATTGCCTATATTCTAAAATGGTAATGTAAAGTTAAATAGGCAAAAGAGCAGAGGAATTTGCTAAAAGATATTGCTTAAAGCTTCTTATTAATTCCGTAAATTATTTTATTTCTTTCTACTAAACCTCTAAGAGAGGAAAAGGAAAGGAAAGCTTTCTTTAACATTTTTTTAAAGAGATAAAGAAACTTGACTTAAAGCTTTTAACGAAATCATCCATCTGCAAATTCTTGTAATCTTCTTCTTTCGTCTTACTATTCACAATCGTTACTGAAATAGTTTCACTTGTAGGGAATAAATGGGTTGAAGGAAAAATTTGCTAAAACTGGTTTAACTCCTCTCAAGAGACTTTTAACGTATTCGTAGACCAAAACTGCATCTAGATGAGGAAGAGTTGAGAAAAAGTATCAAAATTCCTTTGGAGAATATTAAGTGAGAAACAATTAAGAATAAATTGAGTTGCCAGGTTCCTTTTTGTTTGAATATTTTGATATTTAACCTTAATACTAGCTATCTGCGTCTGTTTAAAGAGATTAAGATATTTCTATTACTTTGATTTAGTAATGAAGTAAAAACTTGTTAGTTTCCTCTCTACTTGATTATAGCCAGTTTTCAGGTATTTGCGTTCTACCTTCGCGTTTCAAATGCCCTTTTATTTATTTTTTTTGTCATTTTTAGATGTATTAATAAATGAAAGAGATAAAATTTGATTTATTATAGTTTCCATGTTGGCTATTGGAGGGTTCTTTATTTCTTGTTTTTACCAATTTGCTCATATCTACCGTGTTGTTTGATACGATCAAGACAATTTGATAACTTGTCAACAGATGTCGCTATTAAATTCTTTTTTCTGATATATACTGTTCAGCTATTAAAATAATAATAATTTGATTATACGAAGTTTATCATTGTTACAAATGTATATGGTTGTCCGTAGTTCTGTTTGTATAGACTATATATATATATATATTATACAAGACAGGTTGTTTGGTTTTTTTCACGACTGTTCTTCTTCGCGAAAGAGATGTTTACCGTAAATATTAAACATAAATAACAAATCATTTGTTAAGAAATAAAGAATGAATAGATAATTTATATTTGATTGCAACACCCGGAAAACATATAAAATAATAGTTTGTCTGCATGCCATTTTCAATTGAAAGCTTATTACAAATATTCAATTGGGTTTTATCTAAATATATCACAGCAATAAGCAGAATAGCTAGGCCACAAGCTTTCCTTTGGATACAATTAATCAGCACTTTTTTTAGAGAAAGAGATAAGATGAGGTGGATAGTTCAGGAAAAGGAAAAATGTCCTATCTTTTTCAATATTAAAATGTATAATTAGCCTGTTTGTAGAGAGATAGAGAAGAGAAGAAGAAGAAGAGGAAGAAGAAAGAAGAAAGAAGAAAGAAAATAATAATAATAGATATATATTAGTCAATTCTTCCATTATTATTGTTGTTCACCCTATTAACCCCTCGAAGAAGAACTCTATGAACACTGCTTTCGCTGAGAGATCTCCTTCTTTCATTTTCTTTTTCAGTTTTAAAAAAAACCCGTAGTTCTCGTCTATAATAAGCTCCAGTGGCGCAATATAGAAAAAATTTGACACAGTAGTTAGAACAAAATAAAGTTCTTGCTATATGCAGTTGGCCACTGTAAATATCGAATACAAAATATTTATTTTGCAGTTGAATAATTCTGTAACAGCTCCAAACGACGAAATAGGGCAAATTTAATCCAACGAAGCAGGTAGAGACTACCAAAATAATCATGGTGAATTCAAATCTAATCCGATTCGCTTTCTTTCTGATTCTATTCGCTCCAGTACACCAGGCAAGTTTTTTAAGGATTAGACAATTTATGAAAGCTATCAATAGAAACGGCAGAGCGGTAATGCTCAAACCGTAAGTAATTTCTAGTACTGTAGTAGCAGGGTTGGAAGGGTTTAAACTGCAAACTTCTCCTCCTTGCTTAGAAAGGTAGACCCCACCAATAATCAAAGTATATATGCAAAAAGAGCAAGCTATAGAACAAAGTATAAGAATAACCCATTTTGCAGTTTTCCTATTGCATAATCTTTTTCTATAAGTTGGTCGATTAACTGTAGAAATCAAAAGAAAAAGAAAAGCACACGTCAATAGCATAGATTATTTTAAGCTATTAAAAAAAGTTTGAATACAAGACATTTGTATATTTATAGCCTATTATTATATAACTAGATCATGTAAAGTACAGTATTATACTGTTATTGACAAGATTTACAGATATATTTAATAGTTAAATTCAATTGTGTACTTGATACTTTCGTTTAATTATATTAGACTAATTTCATTATTAAACATATACATTAAACGATAATTACAAAATTTAACTCTATCTCTCTATGTCTCTTATTTATTCACTACGTCTAATGTATTAAAACATGAAAAGTAAAGGTGTAATTTAGCGCCATCTTGTTTTATTCTTAAATAC